GGCTTTGGAATCCCTAGAATAAGTTTAAGGAAAGGAGAAATTTGACACTCCACATGTAGCTCTTCTGCCAACATCCATGACAGAACCAAGACTGGATAATGAAAGCTTGAATTCCCACTCAGAAACTAGATGAAACAAACTCAATAAATGGGAAAGATCACTTACCTTTCCATACTAATATGCCCACACATGGATTGTATGTGAACAATTTGGAAAAAGCAAACGGGGAAAACAGGGGAAAGGATGCTTACATGGGAGGCTGTATTATATAAATAGCATTCTTAACGCTGATAAACACAGACAGAGAGGTGTTTGCAGAGTGTTTGCAGATAACATGAAGCCACAGTTAATGCTAGCCATGCTTTGTTCTTTAAGCAATGAATTGTCCCATGAGACAATGTAAGAGTTTGTCTTCCCCATTTCTGTTTAATTTCTCTCTGAAGTATTTTTTTTCAGCTCCCATTTTAAGGTGGACAGCTGAGTAAACATGACAGAGACAGCCATATTCCTGGGATCAGAAGAAACAAGAGACCATGGTTTGAACTAGCTAGAATGTATAAGCCAACAAGGAACCATGACTGGCAATCATGGTTTACAGCTGACTAGCAAACTACTATTTGTATGGAAAAACTGGATTGCCATCAACTGGAAATCTGAGCTACTGCTACATGAGATATATATTGTAAATAATCCTTACATGAATTCATGAAGAATTCACTCATAAATTATTTAGGAACAGGGATAGAGGGTACAAAAGAAAGAGGGGATAGGAAAGGAAAAATGGTTTTGGGGGATAGGAGAGCATAAAGTATAACATCATCCAATCAATTCATATTGCTAATACATATCAACTTTTTGCTTTTTCATAGTTTGATTACCCTCCTGCTTTTATCTTATCATTTAATTTTAATTTTATTCTATGTTATTCCAACATTATCTGGTAGCTGCTGCCATTTATACAATACATCCCATCGTTCAGTTTCTTTTTGACTTGAACAGCTCATAAACTCATCTGGACTTTGTAGACAAGAACCTACTCTGGCTCATAGCAGCTTCTGAATTATCAGACAGAGTTGTTTCCTAGCTTTTGTTGTTCCCAGATTTAAAGAAATCCAAGTTCCTGTCATGTTGGAAAAGGTAAAGGTAAAGGTTCCCCTTGACAATTTTTGTCCAGTCGTGTTCGATTCTGGGGGCGGTGCTCATCCCCGTTTTCAAGCCATAGAGCCAGCGTTTGTCCGAAGACAATCTTCCGTGGTCACATGGCCAGTGCGACTTAGACACGGAACGCTGTTACCTTCCCACCGAGGTGGTCCCTATTTATCTACTTGCATTTGCATGCTTTCGAACCGTTAGGTTGGCAGGAGCTGGGACAAGCGATGGGAGCTCACTCCGTCGCGTGGATTTGATCTTACAACTGCTTGGTCTTCTGACCCGACAGCACAGGCTTCTGCGGTTTAGCCCGCAGCGCCACCACGTCCCTCTCAGTTGGAAAACAGAGCCACAAAGTTTTGGTTTGCAAACATGAGGAAGGCTGCTAGATAGTTGGCTTGCTTATCACTTTCCAGGAATTATATATGAGGGTTTATGAATACACTCAAACATCATTCACATTTTCTTTTTTACAATTCTACTTTTTATGCTGCGTTCTCCCCCAAAAAAGTCCTCCTACCCCCTGAGTTTTAAAATATCTTTTTCTTTGCTATTTTTGTTTACTGATGTTTAAGCTGTTGGGTTGCTCATTTCATGGAGCATGCACAATGTAGGAGGCCTCCGTTGATTGCACCTTATGTGACACTCCTGGTAAGGCAGCCAGTAGGTTATAGAGGGATAGTACCAGGCTTCCTGCCTGATAACTGGGACTTACCTTGAACTCACTTTTACTCAGAATAAAAGTTAATGTTGATATAAACAGATGAAATACTTGATTTTGGTAATATTGCATATTTTCACTATATAAGAATACTGGATGTACGAATATTATTATTATCATTGTATATGAGGATGGAGAATAAAATTGGCCCAGAAAAAGAGAGAAAACAACCATTAATAAGTTATGTTGCACCATTTTATAGATATGAGTTAAGATTCAAAATGTCCATGTCCATCTTGTCAAAATCATACCTGCTCCATTTTTTTTGTAACTTGATCATTTTTAAGTTCTATTTATATTTTTCTTGCCATGTCAACACTGGAAGTATCCCTCACCTCAGACAATGGCCCGGAGACTCTTGGCCAGATAGTCTTCTGAAGCTGCTGGATCCTCAGAAAGAACCCACTCTAGCAGAAGCAAAGGGCTAGAATCAGAGGAAGAAACAGGTTGTCCTCCCAGACCAAAAGAGGGAGACCAAGCATAGGCATGAGCCAGGCAGTAGGCAACTCAATGCACTGCTGCCTGCAAGGAGTGCATTAGACATGGACTATTTGTATTTGTATCCCTGGTGACACGAATATGAATAGTGGCACCACAGGTGGCACAGAGGTCCATTCTCTCCTCCCAGAACCAGCTGGTCCACTCACTGTTCAGCATGCGGCACTCAACGTCATTAGCTTTGTCATTGCACCAATCACAGCCAACCCCTCCCCGCCTCTCTGTGCAGCTGGCCACTCATCAGCTGAGCAGGGAGACTCCCAGTCCCACCTCCATGCCGGAGTGGTTTGCTGTGCAGAGAGGGAGGGAAGAGCCATCTGAGCTTCTTCCCGAAATGTCATGACAAGGAAAACAACAGAGCCAAGCACTGAGTACCGAATGGTGAGTGTGCTAGCAGGTTCTAGAGGAAAGGAATGGACCTCCATGGCACCTTGGTGCCTCTATTCATATTCATAGCCAATCTGTAGTGTGCATCCTTCAACTTTGAGGCTTCCTCATGAGTTTAGGATCCCCCTGAAAGGAGGCCCTTCTTGGGGAGCTCTGATGCTGGAAAGCCTCCAGTGCACAGGCAACTCAGAAGCTTAACTGTAGGGAGGAATGACTGCTGATTATATCATTTGGGATCACCTGAAACACCAACAACTAAGCTTTATTTTGTGAACCTTTGTTCTGTGAATAAATCTTTGCAACTTGTTACCTATTGCATTTCTCCCTTGTCAAATTCCTGGATGAGTGATACCCTGGCACTCTGAACAAGACACTTAGTTGATTTCACTCCTGTCTACTTCCTGCCTGGACTGACACCCTGGTAGGAATGTGATTTATGGCTGGTCCTCAAGTCATGTTCTGACTCTCAGTGTTGCCTACTCTTTCAAATTGTCTGCTACTGTTTACTTTGTGCACTCACTCAGCCTGGCCTATTAGACCTCCCTTTTGACACCCCTGAGCGACCACACGCTTCTCTGTCTTCTCCGATGGCTAGACATCTTCAGGACTAGAACAGGACACCTACAATGGTGCATCTGGCTCTTATCCTTCCAATTTTATCTTTACAACAACCCTATGCTGTAGATCAGCCTGAGAGTGAATGGCCTGAGGGTGTCTTGTAGGTTTCATGGCTCCGTGGAAGCTTGAACCTTGTTTGCCCAATTCGCTCTCCAATACTAACCTCTGCAACACACTGACTTTGAACTGGCAGACTTTTATTTCTTGCTAAATATGTTGATCTGCTAAAGATATCCTGTGACACAGACTTTTATTTCTTGCTAAATACAGTATGTTGATCTGCTAAAGATATCCTGTGACTTGGATAAAGCTGCTTGACCACGACTAGAGTTTTCCTTACTTCTAAGGCAATGGAGTTTTCACTTCAGGTCTGTGCTGGGAAGTTTCTCTTCAGTGTGCAAACTACAAATGTTGGGGGCGGGCAGGCAGACTTAGTATGCAAGAATGGACACGTTAGTGGCTCGTCAAGGCTCCAGACATTGGCATTTGAGATTGTGTGGCATCCTTAAGGCCTGGAGGGCCAGCACCCCTTTTGTTTTCTCTTGGGCACAAGCCTATAAAGTCTACACAATCCAGAGCTTTTCTGTCATGTTGAAAGGGTGGGGTTTTTTCCTGTCTGGGAAAAGTAGTTTTTGCCAAAAGCCCTCTAATCTAAGGAGCACTGGCTAAAGGCCAAAAATGTGTCATTTTTGTTTAAGTGTGAATTGTTACACTGCTCTGTTTTCATCTTGCACAACACAGTCTCTGTGAGTTGTGTTCCTTTGTGCTCTTACAGCACCACAGGATAAATTCCAGGTGCTGATGGCAATGCCTCCCCCCCCCCGCCTGCCCACACACAGCCCTGAACTAGAAAAATCATGCCTGTATTTACAGTACTGCTGCCTGGTCCATGACACACAGATTGTTTTGGCCTCTCCTGAATCTTCATTTGTCCCATAGACAGATGAAAGGCAGGCTACTCAGCATGCAGATGATACCGCAGGTTGGCGTACAGAGGGGAAGTGATGGGGTGGTAATTTCCCTCTCCTTGACTGGGCTACAAAAGTTCTTCTCTTGTTAGAAAAGGGGGATTTTAAATGGAATTTCAAAACTGAGACATTAAACAGCACAGAAAGGTGTGATTTAGTTTTAAAACAGACACACATTTCCCCTCCCTCCACAAACAGGAGTTCAGGGTCTAGAAACTAATTTGGGCGTGGCAAGATTTGGGAAGGACATTTTTGTTCATGTTCTAACACTCTTTACGCTGAAGACAATATAACACAATTTGACCCACTCAACTTAAGCACAGCATTATGTCGTGGAAGATGACTTTCACAAACCAGGTTGAATTATTATAGGAATTACATAATGTTTTCTTATACAGAAATCATTCTGCCGATTTCTGCATGTAGACTGGTTGTTATGGCATGAGACTGAAATTCTCAGGCAACCGTTTCTCAACAAGACCGAAAAGTGTTGGCGACAACACTTTCATTAGAGAAAGACAATGACACTGCACTTTCCCAATCCTCCTCTCATTTTTTCCCCTGTCTGTCTCTTTAAAAGACTTCTGTATTGTCTTGGGCTCCCCTGGAAATGCAGTAAGGATTCCTATCACATCTTGGTAGCCATGGCAACAGCAGCCTTTCCCATAATGAGCTGCATCATCTGAACTGATGTCACAGCATCATGCAGCAGGTCAAACAAGGCACCTCCTAGTATTGCATCCTACAGATTGTGCTGTAAACATCAAAGGACGATGGTGTGAGCAGGAGATGGTGAGTGTTAACAGGAGCCTATTCTTATTTGTGTGTTGCATCCCTGATCTGTATGGGATTTTCCTATTATCAGAGTGTCTGAGTTTTGCTTTCTGAGGATGGATTTGGGGAAGAGATACTGCATGCTTAAATATAATCTTTTTCCAGCAGGAAGGCTTAGACAAAGGCCTACCAGAAGCAGACTGATTCAATAATATTGATAATTGACCTTACTGCTTTTCTGAAGAAATCTATAGAATATGTGTGAATTCCGTACCCTATTTTCTGATGTTCCTTGTTGATTTGATTCTTATTTTCTGTCTCTTGGAGCCATGAAAAATTTAATTCCACTATCTTGGAAATAAGATGAATTCTTTCAAAAATCTATTTTTGAACCTCTGCCTTTTTATGTGAAGGGAGCATCCTATATTTTATCATGGAAATCTTTGGTGGTTTGTAGCATCATTGTTTACCTCCGGTAGGTTTCAATAGCAAGATATCAAATTAACAACAAAAAACACATACATGCTAGCCAGTGCCGAAGAAGCAGCTGGTACTGTATTGACATTAAATGGAATTTTGTGTTCTTCCCTTGTTTTACAAATGGTTTACGAATGGTGGGATGTACAAACTTTCTGTCCAGAAAGTACTGGAAATATAGGTGCTCTCCATTCCTGAGAATGTTGCTGCTAACACTGGAAAGAAATGCTTAGCAGATTTAGACATATCTTTTACAAGAGAGCAAACAAGACTTCTACTGCAACTGCGGTAAATGAATACTCAACGAAATCAGGATTGTTGAAATATTTTAAATATAGTGAAGGATCAGTGGTAGTACAAACCTCTTACCTAATGGGAAAATGCACATATACCCTTAAGGCTTTGATTTTGTGTTTAACGTTAGATCAGTAGGTTGTTCTTGATGGCTTCTCCATCTTTTTGTTTTGTAATCATATATTCGTTCCTCTTGTTGTTTTTGCTTCTGAGCATCAGCATGGGTTTCACTTAACCTGTCTTCCGGATGGGTGGGATACAGTAATTCATTGTCTCTAAATGATTAGATGAGTCATTGTTTCAGCTGTTTGCTGGGAAAAAGAAAGAAAATATGAGACACGTGTCAGTTTCACTGGCCAAGGTGTCCACTACGAACTAGGGAGTGGTCTCCTTTCTGCCTTGCTCAACATCCTTCTTGTTTTCAAAATGCAGCTAAAGCAGGAAAAAAAAATAGCTATCATCAGTAGTTTGTCTTATTGTTTGATTGAACAGGTACAGAACAACATGGGAAAACTCAATGGGTGAACATAGGCAGACTGACTGTTAAGAAGATATAGTGTATATGTATTTAAAGAAATGTGGTAAAGGGCTGATTGTTTTCTATAGCCGTCTTAAGCACAAAGGCCTCAGCTGGCATTATCCGTAATGGATCTTTTTGATCTTAATTAGGCAGCCTGCACTGTAAACCATGTGCGTTATCCAGCCTGATGGAAGCATACATCTGTTCTTTTAAATCAGGAAAGAGACATGAGTGAAACAGCTTTATTTACTGAGATAGTTCAAAAGGGACATTGTGCTTCCCCATGAAAAGGCGTCTCTAGAGGCTACTGGGTGTTCAACCACCAGGCGAAAAGCATGAGTTAGCAAGAGAGGGAATGTCTGGCTGCTGGCTGGATTAGAAAACATAGGAAAGAAAAACACAACCAAAAACAAACTAACACTGATTATCTGGAAATTAACTCCAAGAGCAGATGTTCCTTGTTCAGAAAACTAGTGTTCTAATAGTAGTACCAAAGAATGTCTCAGCAACAGAGGAAAATACAGATGTATGCATGTGTTGGATCTGTTATGTAATGAGACTCAAACACACATCATCTGGTTATCTCCTGTTTTATGGTGCAAAACTGAAGCTTTAATTTTATTTTCAATTTTTAAAGATTGGTTCTACTAATCTGGATATTTTGTTAACAAGGAAGGTCAAGGCCTGCTATTGGCCATATATTATTTTCCCCATCTCCTGAGCAACCAAAATGGATTACAAGGAATTGAGTCTCCTGACGGACTCGATACAACTTACATTTCCCTGAAACACTGAATTCTGATCCAGATTAGAAGGAGGAGGGGTGCAGGCTTGGCCTGCTGCCCTTGATGACAGGTGGGCAGATGTGCAGCGAAGGGCCACAGCTCAGTGGCAGAGCATATGACTTGCATGCACATCATTCCTGGTTCAATACCTATCATCTCTAGGCAGGGGAGGGGGAACTATACCCTGAAACACTGGAGAGCTGCTGCCGGTTAGGGTCAACAATATTATGCTAGTTTGATCAATGGTCTGACTTGAAAATAAGATAGCTTGAGATATTGTATTCCTGTTTAAAAGAACTTGATGCAGAGTTGGCTAATAAGGTGGAATACCTGATCTTACCTCTATTCAATATGATTGCATTTGCAAACAGCTATTTCAGTCTATAAATTAGAAGCCCAATTAATTAAATGGCCAATGTGCTAGAACTCTCACTCTGCCCTGCCACCACCTATATATTTTTTTGTATTCTCAAAGGCTTTCATGGCCGGGATCCAATGGTTGTTGTGGGTTTTCTGGGGTGTTTGGCCATGTTCTTAAGGTTTTTCTTCCTAATGTTTCACCAGTCTCTGTGGCTGGCATCATCAGAGGGCAGGAATCAGAACACCAGGGCACAGACAGTGTTCTGACTCCTGTCCTCTGATGATGCCAGCCACTGAGACTGGCAAAACATTAGGAAGAAAATCCAAACAGCCCGGAAAACCCACAACAACCGCTATATATTTTTTCTCATTTCTACATATTTCCCATATTTCTAGAAATTTTAATATTTTTGAAGTACAATTTCTCTCTGTCTGTCTTAATGTTGTTTCCCTGTAAAAGTGTAATAATAGACAAATGGTAAAATATATTGTTATTTAATACACCTAGAACTACTAAACCAGAGACAGCCGTCTATTAATTTTTGGATGCCTTATTTTTAATTTAAACTCATTACTTATTGTTCAAATAATTATAACAGAAATGTGTCCTTAGTGTCATATTTTCTCTGTAGAAGGATTCTAGAAATAGCATGACTTTTGTTGCTGGAAGGGTGGGGCATAATGACAAGACCTCAGAAATAACAGATTCTTTGTTCAAGCAGTTATCCTGGCATTGAACAAACCTACTCAAGCATGTAAAGCAGTTCCTCATCCTCAGCCTGATGCCATCCAGATATTTTGGACTTCAGTTCCCAAGATTCCACACTATTGAGCATATTATATGAGGCTGGTGAGATTTATAGTTTAAAATATATGGAGTACAGGCTGGTACAGGCTGATTTACTGTATTTCCCTACCTTCTACTTTTTCTGAGAGTATAATTGCTTTTTCCTTATATCTATGTCGAATGTCACATTATAGTTTTTACTTCTTGAAAGACTGATGTGGCTAATGAGGTTTTCCTGCAAAGAGCTACAGTAAACACCAAAAGGACAGAATAAAAATAATATAAAATGAGGTGTGCTTGTGGCTATTCAACCTTGGCTTTGTTAAGAATGTTTTAATTAAAAATAATATTCTGAGCCCTAAGGCGAAATCCAAAAGGAACCAGGTGGACTAAATGAAATTTGCTACCTTCAGAAATAGAAGTCTGTCATATAAGATATTTAGTTGACATATGTTAGGAGAGTTGAAAGTTGATTAATTAGAATTAATCACAAGCTAGAAGTATGGATATTTAACTGGAATTTCTTGTGAGCTAGTAAGAGTCTGGTGAAATGATGGGATGCTTAGCTGGTGGTTCTAATAAAGGGGTGGATTATGACCCTTTCTTCCACTGAATCATCAGGTAACCTGTGACAGAGTAATTTTATTCATTTAATGGAAAGCAAAGTACAAACTTGCCTAAGTGGTTTAATTTAGTTTCTTGGTAACTATCAGAATGAAAGTGCCAAATTTATATTCAGAAATAAGGGAGAAACTTTTAGCTTCCCCTGTGGTCACTTTGAAAATCCCTGTCTTCTAAGCTTTTCATTCTTGTCTTCTAGGAAATTCATTCTTGGCTATTAGACCAGATAAATGTCATCGACTGCCACTAGCCAATCAGAAATATTATTCTATTAAATGGAAACCAGCAAAACATGTATCTCACCAAGCCAAATGCAAAGACCACTGGCTGAATCGTGTGTCACACCCACTGCTTGACTTACTTCCGAGTTGTTGCAATAGCAGGCAGCCGGCAAAAATGGAAGGTTTACCAAGTCATACATATATGACAGGCTGCATCTGCCTTGACAAATGTTCAGGGCTGCGTTCATGTAGATAAAATGAGAGAAAATGGTGGTATAATTAATATGAAAACTTGGAATTTCCTAATCCCTTCATTCATTAACATCCTTTATTAAGCATGCACTTCACCATTAAAAGACTGATGTACTTAAAACACAATTATTCCTCAGGGAAGTTAGAGATCATTGGCTTAGCCATGATCTGTACTATAAGACTGGTGAGTCTCAGGCTTGCACACTCCTTTTCACTTTTCCCATTTGTCCATATTAATGAGAAAGAGAGTACAAGCCTCTAGTGACAACCCATAGCTTGTACTATACAAATTGAGTGAATTGTATATACTCCAGTTAGTTGGTTAGCTAGTTTATTTGATTTCTGTCTTGACTGCTTTCCCTAGAAGTCCCAAGGTGGCTTGCATAAACAAAACAAAACAAATAAAAACATACTAATTACAAATTGTTATACAAATATTTTAAAAAGTTATATAAAAAGTATAAAACAGATTTTGAAAGATCTCCCCTGATGACTCCCCAAAAGCCTCTCCAAACAGTTAGGTTTTCAGTTGCCAGGAGGGAAAGAGGACTCTTCTGAGGAAGGGAGTTTTATAATCCAGGAATTCAAACCAAGACATCATATTAAACCATGATAGGAACGTATGTTCACAAAAAGTGGATTCTAATGTCCCTTGAAACCTGAGACTCTATCTCGTAGCACTCTCCATACCTAGGAGGGCC